TGCCGCCTGGTGTGCGCGCAGTGGCGGTACGTGGTGGACCTCAACACCCTCTGGAAGAGAAAGTGCCAGCGCGACGGGTTTTATCAGCAGAGCCTGGACAGGAACATCTCTGACTGGAGGGTCTTCTATATGCTCTGCCACTTGAAGAGAAACTTAATCAAAAACCCCTGCGCTGAAGGTTGGTCTCGTTGTTTTAGCAGTTAAAGAGTTTCCGAGAAGTCAGAGTGAGTCAGTATATCCTGCATGACTCAACTGCTCGTGCTGCAGGACTGTCCAGCTGCTGGTGGAGCTGTGCTGGGTCAGATCCAGCTCAACACCAGCAATAGAACTGCTGTAGGTAGACGGGTGTGTATTTACCAGTGCTTTGTGGTTGCAACCAGAAAAATCTGGAGTCGCAAGGCCCCAGCACTGCAGACGGTGACAATTAATTTGCACAGCAAGTACAAGGTGGTAATGAAACCATCAGGTATTGGCAGTAAACGTTTGGGCAGCTGGAGAACTTTGAGTTATCAAAGACTTGACTAATAGGACTACAGTAATTCTACTTTATTGCTGATGATGAGTTTGTAATGTGGTCAGATGGTTTGTGATGTGGCACAGTTACCTGCTGTGCCAGCTGCTGACAGCCCCATGAAAAGCAACCAAATGACAGGGGTCACTTCAGGTTGTAGGAAAAATAGTGGATCTGAAAACTCCATGTAGCTTAATAGAATTCTCCTGTAGCTGACTCTTTAATGAAAGCAGAGCTCCTGCTGGTAGCTGAAGTGAGGTCCTAACCCTCATCTTGGGCACCTGTGTTTGTAGAGAAATTCCAGCACTGGACAATTGACCACAACGGTGGAAATCAATGGCAAATTGAGGATCTGCCTGGAGATCATGGAAATTTGATGCCAGACCCCACAGTACACAAATACTTTGTCACTTCATTTGGGTAAGAACTGGATTGCAGTAATCTGGAGCTGGGAAACCTCCTTTCCCCTGTGTGTCTGCACAGGCACCATGGTTAGAAGGCTTGAGGCAGGTCACTGAACCTTAGCCCAGCTGTGGGAAAAGGAAGGAGCTTAATTAAGCCTTTATGCCAATTAGTCTAAAGAGACAGGGTACTGCTGAGAGAATTGGTCACAGTATATGTCAAGTTTTTCTGTCTCTACCAGGAACCTCCTGTAATTTTTATAGTTAAAATCATCCACGTGGATTTTATAGTTACAATAATTCTCCTCTGCCAGAGTTGATGGGCAAAGGTGAAGGCTCTGGCAAACATAATCAGCTGCACTTACCTGACAGGGCTCTGGAACCTCCAGGAGTGGTAGGTGTGTCATGCAGCGTGTAAGCAGAGGAGGATTAGCTGCTTTTACATGCACTAGGCAGTGGTTTCCTGTTCCAGTACACAAGTGCAGGGACCCCTCTTAATCCAGCTTGCAGGTAACTATTCCTTTTATCTGGGGGTGAAGCTAATTCAGTTCATTTCCTTATCCAGTTCTGGCTATGGAAAAGGCAGGCCTTAGCCAGGTCAGGTTTGTGGGCCTTCAATGCCTGGGCAGGCAGTAAATCTGTCAGGGAAAGGACATGGACAGTGAGAGGGAAGAGATGTTTTGAGGAACTGTGAGTATTTCTGTGGCTGTTTCAGGCTATGCCTCAAGTCTCAGCTCATTACTCTGAAGAACGAAGGATACCAAGATCAGCTGATGGATGAGATACGGCCTGAAATTGTAGTCAAGGACTGGTAAGAGGATGCACTGAAAACTAGAATTTCTGGTATTGGCCTAGAATTAAGCTAGGCCTGTGGAGCTTTTCATGCTATAAAATCAGTTCTTTAACCTATGGGAGTTGTAGCTCTCAAGTAAAGCATAAGCTACATCTGAGCTTATTAAAGGGGTGCAAGGAAGTGGCAATCCTGGGAAGTTACAGAACTTCTCCACAGCTATGGGGATGACAGTCCTTTCCGTGTACAGACAGGGATCTTCTTGGAGACTGTTTCTGAACCCCAGGGGGAAGTGAAGGCTGTACACACAGCCCTGGGTTCCTCTCCCTCCCCAGGTACGCTGCCAGGTCCGACTGCGGGTGCCGCTACGAGCTCCGGGTGCGGCTGCTCTCGGCTGATTACATCGTCCTGGACGAGTTCGAGCCCGAGCATGTGATCATCGAGCAGTGGAGTGATGCCAAGTGGAGAGAGGTGAGCAGCAACCCCGGGGGCAGGAGCTTTAGATCAGTTTTGTGGCACTTGAGTCTTGCCAGTCTTACTTGGCCAAAAGTCCCAGTGGACCTTTCTCTGCTCTCCAGCCTCCTGAGTCAGTCCTTGCTGTTGATGATGCCAAAGAAGCAGTGGTGCCCTGATCAAGTCAAGTTCCTTTTTAGGTGCCCAGGATTTTCTAGATAATATCCCCCGGGCTTCTGTGTACTCAGTCTTTTTAATTGTTTCTGGGTTTTACCTAGTTTTTGTCTAAATAACTAAGTCACAAGAGCAGATTGCTGTTTTTCCAGATCAAAAACCTTTGTTTCAAAACTACTGTGCAAGGATGGCCAACTATTGCAGACTTAACTTTTCTTAAACTGTTAAAGGTGTTTAACTGGTTTGATTTTCTGTAACAACCACATAAGTAACATTCACATTAGATGTTACTTATGTGACAAATGCACCTAAGAATTGAGCTTAATGTTAGTTTGACTCAGAGAACATTTCAGGGCAGAAGGCTGAGTGAGAGGGTTTTTCTGCCCCATCCCCTAAAAAGGGGGTATTGCACTTTCAGTGAAAGGTATCTTGGTCTCAGGAAAAGCTCAATGACTCACAGACTGTAGTTGTCTGAGTTTCAGGTCTAGTTAGGCAAATTAAGAGGAACTCTCTTATTTCTCTCCAGATTTCCCACACATTCCGGGATTACCCAGCAGGAGTTCGCCACATCTTGTTCCAGCACGGAGGGCAGGACACCCAGTTCT